CCTGGGCAGGCACCTCGGGCGTCCGGTCAGCAGGGGGCGCCTCGGTGGGCGCCGCCAGCACGCGACCAGCAGGGGGCGCCTCGGCGGGCACCGTAGGCGTAGCGGTGGTAGCTGCAGGCGTGCGACCAGCAGGGGCCGCCTGGGCAGGCGCCTCGGGCGTCCGGTCAGCAGGGGGCGCCTCGGCGGGCGCCGCCAGCACGCGACCAGCAGGGAGCGCCACAGCGGGCGCCGCCATCACACGGCCAACAGGGGGCGCAACCGCCGCCACCTCAGGCAGTTCGGGTGCCGGCAGGACAGGCGAGACAGGCAGTTCGGGTGCCGGCAGGACAGGCGAGACAGGCAGTTCGGGTGCCGGCAGGACAGGCGAGACAGGCAGTTCGGGTGCCGGCAGGATGGGCGCCACCGTCACGTGGCCAGCAAGGGGCACCTCGGGATGCATCTTCGTCGTGCGGCCAGCAGGGGGCGCCTCGGCGTGCACCTCCGTCACGCGGCCAGCAGGTGGCGCCTCGGCGGGCGCCGCCATCACGCGGCCAGCAGGGGGCACCGCCATCACGCGGCCAGCAGGGGTCGCCGCAGCGGGTGCCGCAGCCTGAGTGGTGGCAGCTGCAGGGACTGCAGGCAGAGCAGGAAGGACAGGTGGGTCAGGTCGGACAGGCGGGTCAGGCAGGACAGGCGGGTTAGGCGGTGCTGCTGGCAAAGCGGCAGCAGGCGGTGCTGCTGGCAAAGCGGCAGCAGGCAGTGCCGCTGGCAAAGCGGCGGCAGCTGCAGCAGGCGGTGCTGCTGGCAAAGCGGCAGCAGGCGGTGCCGCTGGCAAAGTGGCAGGAGCTGCAGCAGGTGGTGCCGTGGGCCGATCGGCTGCAGCAGCAGGCAGCGCAGCCGCGGGCAGATCGGCTGCAGCAGCAGCAGGCGGTGCCGCGGGCAGAGCGGCGACAGCAGCAGGGACCACAGACAGGGCAGGCGGGTCAGACAGAACAGGTGGGTCAAGCAGGCCAGGCAGTGCCGCTGGCAAAGCGGCAGCAGCTGCAGCAGGCGGTGCCGCGGGCAGAGCGGCGGCAGCAGCAGCAGGCAAAGAAGTGGGTTAGACTTATTCTTTATATAGAACTTGGACCGCTGTGATTGGACATGACGACGTCCATAAGGTCTCCTTGTTTGAACTTTCGTTTTCACTTTCATTTCAACCAAGGAGACCTTTAGGCAGGTGACATGACTTTAAATNCTAAACATCCTACCTTCATAATGCATATGGGTAGATCATCTCGATGGGGTACATAACACTAACTAAACATCCTACCTTCATAATGCATATGGGTACATCAGTAACACATTTCCAAGGACTGAAATATACTGCAAAGCTGACACATTATATACAGTATAGTATAACAAAATATATATTACATACAACATTATAAAGTATGTGTAATATTTTCTATTTAACATATTAGGTGAAGCTTTTAAGGTCCATAAAGCACCTTATTTGAGGGCATTTCAAATAAAACAATAGCACATTATAGGAAGAATAAAAAGGCTTTAATTTACATACATTAATGAACAATAAAACACTCCAACAAAGACCAAAGAACAATACTTATTTATCTATACATTTTTTACAAACATATGCTATTTCAATTTTTTCATTGTATTTTGCACATTGAAAATGTGCCCAGCGACTGCACAAATCACACTGCACCTGAAAAATAAAACATAACGATTAGTCTGAATATGGAAACAGTAATAATAGTGACTGATTCAATGAACTATTTGGTCCAATGCGGCTAAGCAGGTGTAGAAGCAATTAATATGTTACTTGTTAAGTTATATTACTAGACCAAGAACAAAATTATGAAGAGTGAAAATGAGCATACATGTAGTAGGATATTATATTATTGTGGATGGTACATGTTGAAATATTGTTACCATTTCAATTGTGCTTTTGTTGGGATCATCTTCCAGCATGGAACAAACCAAGCAATAATCCTCTGCATTGCCTATAATCTGTCATGCCCCGATCGTCCGCTCCTCTCATGTGCCACGCCCCCTCGTTAACCTCATGTGGAATCCCAGTGTTTTACAGCTGTTTGTGATTGTTGTCATTAGTTCATTGTATTTA